GAAAGTACTGTCTTGACAAAAATTTAAACTAAGAAAATAGTTTTTAGACAATATTAAAAAATTTGAATTTCATTTTATTTATTTATTAATTTAAGTGGAGAAGGTGACATTTTGTAAGAATGCCCATAAAAAATCTCAGATTTTTAATTTATTATTTTCAAAAAACTTTAAAATTATCAAATAAGAATTATATAACTCTTGATCTCAAAATAAATTGTATCGCATTGCAATATTTCATATGATTTCATTTTTATTAATGATATAATTGTTAAACTTGCTATAGTTCTAACTCTTTTTCTGGAAGCATATAATAGCATATAATATAATAAACATTTCGTTTCGAAAACCTTAAGATTTTAATTTGCAGCTTTTATATAAAAATGTAAAAGGATTAAGTGTTAAGAATTAAAATTTAAAGAATTGAGGGTTAAGGTAAAAAAGTTATTAATTCAAATTTCGATTCATTTTTCAACATGATTTAAAACGCAGTTTGTTTTACAATATTAAATGACAAATAATCAAATTACTTACAAGTGAATTCTTAGCTACAGTTGTTAAATGTAAACATTATTTTAATTAATGTTAATAATGTGAAAGGTTTTTCTTTAAAAATATATTAATCAAGTTTCTACTTACAATAAAGACAATTTTTAAAATCATTATCCTTTCTGTATTTTAAATCTGGCAAACAATGTTCTTTATATTATAAAATCATTGTTTAAAAATGGAATCGATGTTTAAAAAAAAAAGAAAAAATTATATGCCAATTCTGTGCATCATGTAAAATGTTAAAAGGTTTCTTAAAAAAGAACAAAAATGTGTCAAAATACCTCATTTGTTTATTGTTGAGTTTAGTGACATGCTCAAAACAGCACATTTTTAGCTAAAAAAAGTATATGCTGCTTTGAGCATGTCACTATACACAAAAATGAGTACACGTTTTTTTCATTTGATTATATTTGTTTCGGAGCTGTTTTGACACATTTTCACTCAATTTTGAGAAATTCTTCCTTGCAGTTCATTGAGAACTAAAACATGCTTTTTCTTCTGACCTCACTTAGCTATACAAATACTTAATAGATTATTGCTGAGTTGCAAACAACTTACTATAAAAATTATTTTACAAATTCGCATTCATTAAATTTTAATTCTCATCAAACTTTCGATTTTATGATTTTACTACATGAATGGTTTAAATACCATATATTTTGGTTTCATTGATCACAATTATGGTTCATTTAACCAGAAATGTCATTACTATACAGTACGGTAATTTTAGTTGGATTTTTTCCTCTATGTAAATTCTCTTTGTAAATTTTTGAAGTTAAATTCTAAATTGGCTTTTAGAAAGTTAAAATTTTAGTTACGTTAAATGTTATAAACTCGTTGTTTGTTAAATTTCTTTCTGAAGTGTCACGGCCTCAAATATAAAGTTGAATTTACCATTTAAAAGATCGGTGTTCATGTAACACATCTGTGTGTTAAAACTATAAATCTCGCACTGAAAACTTAGGAATTTAGTTTCTCTTCTCTCGCCTAAATTAGCCGATTTGTAAAATGTTTTCTCATTTAAAGTAAAGATACAACCTTAAAGACGTGACTAAGAATGCGAAAGGACTAGGAAGGCGAGAAATTTAAACTAAAATGTTTGCGCAAATGCAAAGATCAGCATTTGAAACATGATCTTACCTAAAATTTGAAATTGATACTAAGATTTGTACATAGTGTACAAATGAAACAGAATCTTAAAACTAGTTTCCACAAACAAACGAGAGGAAATTTAAAAATGTTATCGTAACCATTGTATAGTTACACTAAGTGTTTGTTATTACGCTTTTGGTGTAAAAAAACAACAACATAATTCTGGTTAATAAAACAAAATATACGGTACTTAAAAAATTCATTCAATAATTTTTCCGTTCTTATGTTAATGGTTTGCAAGAAATAATGATTTTCAAATTTGCAGTTCTCATTACCGCGCATTTAGAAAAAAAATACAAAACAGACAAGTAAATTTAACCGAAAGAATGCTTTTTATGCCATGCTCTAAGGTATCATGAAAAAAACTAAATTTTACCATATTTACCAAATCTTACCGCATGTAATATAACCAATCACCAAACAGTACGGTAATTTTAACAGGATTTTTTTTCTCTGTGTATGGTGTTTATTTTTGAAATAAAATTCGTTTCATAACGTTGAAATTTAGTCACATAAACTAATATAAACTCGTTGTTTGTTAGATTTCTCTCTAAAATGTTACTGCTTCTAAAATAATATTGAAATTGCCATTTTAAAGATTGGAATTCGTGAAATACACGTATGCATTAAAACTATGAATCTCAAAGTTCAAACTTGGGAATTTAATACAAAGATTAGCATTTGAAATATAATCCTGTCTAAAATTTGAAATTGATACCAAGATTTGCTCGCATGGTACAGATGAAACAAAATTCTAAAACTGAAATGCATCATCGTATCCATTGCATGGCTACAGGAAGAAAAAAATTCTGTTAAAATTCCCTTACTGTATGCTAATGACGTTTTCGGGTTATTTTTAAAGATAAAACAAAAAAAAATAAAATAAAATATACGGTATTTAAACAATTCATTTGATAAATTTTCCTTTCTTATGGTAATAGTTTACATGACATTCTGGTTTTCAAAGATAAGTTATAGTTTTCATTACCGCGCATTTAGAAAAAAATACAAAAAAAGTAAGTTTAACCGAATAAATCGTCTTTATGCCATGCTCTAAGGTATTAAGAAAAAATAACTGAATTTTACCACATTTATCAAATTTTATCACAGATAATACAACCACATTTTATTATTAATTTTATCAAAATCATTACCAAAACGCTTCGGCAAAAAATATCGAACTTTCTGGTTTTCCCATAGAGCCAGAAACACAGTAAATTTTACCATATTCTGGTAGTTTCGTCTATAATTTTTTTTTATCTAAGTGTACGATAACAAGTGGTAAAATGATAACGATTAGTGAAGTTTCAAGTCAAATAATGTAATGAATTTTTTAAGGTTTGAGTAAATATTACCGTACTGTATGTCAAGAACGATTTCGGTAAAAAAATATATTTTTGATTAATAAACCAAAATAAACGGTATTTAAACCATTCTTTTTGTAATTCTTCCGTTCGTATCATAACGGTTTACTGAAAATTCTGGTTTTCAAAACTATAGTTCTTATTTCCGCCCATATGGTAAAGAATACAAATTAAAACCCTAATTTAATCTAATAAATTTTCTTTATGTCATGCGTTAATGTATCCTGACAAAATTACCAAAATTTACCACATTTACCAAATTTTATCACATTAAAATTATATTTTATAGAAAATTTTACCAAAATCGTTGCCAGAGCTCTTCGGTAAGAACTACTGGGCTTCTTGACGTTCTCATGGAACCCGAAATACAGCAAATTTTACCATATTCTGCTAGTTATAACCATACTTTTTTCTCAGTGTATAAAGTAATTTTATGAAAAAAGGTGCTTGGACATTTGTGAAATTTGACAATTGTAATTTGATATTTTTTACTTTTGACTACTACTTGTGTTATGTTATTAATATAATATAGGAATATTATAGGGATATATTATAAGGAATATTAATATATTATATACTTATGTTATAAATATATTATAGAGAAGCGTAATGTCTTATTCCTTCAAAATAATTTTGAATAATGAAATGATTGAATTATCAGGTTTTTCGTTTCTGAAAAAATTACAAAGGATTATTGGCTTTTTATATGTTCAGAGGGTTTAGCCTACTGTATACAGACACCCAAACGCATTAATCCTTACAGAAACAGATAAATAAATATAATATCATATTCAGCTATCATGAAAAGTTCGTACAAATAAGACATCTGTATAATTGAAAAAGTTGACATTTTTTCTTGAAAATCATTTCCTCAATTTCTGTCATGCAAATGTTACACAATATTAATTAATTAATTTTTAATTTTTAAATTGTTCATTTAATAATTGTTAAAATGTTTTATCACATCATAATATCTATATTTATTTATCTGAAAATTTTTCTCCTTTTGCTGTAGTAAAAAGTTTAACTGTAGTAAAGTTTTGCTGTAGTAAAGTTTTTATTAAACTTGCTTTTTTTTAAACTTGAAAAGTATTCTTAAAAGTATTTTGATTGTAATTTCAATTAGTATATAACTATATTAAACCAACTATGTATGCAACTGTAATTACAATTCGATTGTAATTATAGTTGTATATAATTATATGAATCATTTTTTAATGTATCTCCACTTAAAGCATTTCTTAAAACTATTTTAGTAAAATTTTTAGAAAAGTTTTTTTTTAATTTATTATTTTTTTATACATATTTCGTCAAAAAATATGTTCATCTTTGTTTTTATTACTATTCTATGTGCATTATTTTCACCAATTGTCTTAAATTTGAAAGCTTTTGCTATTACATTTAATTATCCAGAAAAATATTATAAATATTTGTTCTATTCTTAGCATCTCTGTTTAATTTTGTTAAAAAAATATTTTTAAATAAACTCACAGGCCTAAAACAGTTTTTATATTAGTAATACATTTTAAAAATTACTTTTGTACTTAAAAAAGCAGAAACTTATAAAGGTTTTTTTATTTCTAAACTTCTTGGACATAACATAGTTATTTGTTAAGAGGTTAAATCTTCTTACCTTCTCCTAAGAAGTTAAATATTTTTTTTTTCAAGAAAAACTATTTTTTTAAAATTTAATTACCCAAAAATTTATAAATTTTATTGGTGTATAAATTTTATTGTTGTATTTCTAAATTTCTAGGACAATTCATTGTTATTTGTTAAGAGGTTACCTTTTGCTGAGTGATTAAATATACCAACCTATATATATTAAAAAAACTACTTTTATATTTAATTACCCAGAATCTTAAACAGATTTGTTGTATTTCTAAATTTCTAGGGCATAAAATAGTTATTTGTTAAGAGGTTAAATATACCTACCTTCTGTCCTGTCACCATCCTCAATATCTAATTGTTGAGGAAGAGGTTGAGGTTGATCCTGCATAAAACAACAACCATTTCTCGGCAAATCCAACAAATGACTAACTGTAAACCGTTTTGTATTGTCTCCGTATTGCGCTGCTCCAAAATCAACCATTTTGGTTTACTTTAAAATACAAAACACACAAAAAATATCAACTCAAAACATTCATTCTGAGCAGATCATTCAACTTTTCAAAAGTAATCCAAGAGTGTTTATTCCAAAACTTTTTTAACTGGACGTTTTTATTTGTGGCTAATCCAATGGATGTTGATTCTAAATCTTTGAAAACATTCTTGAGAATATTGGTTAAGTATATTGTAAGTGTCGTTGTCTTTGACGCCTTATTTGTTGACTGGGTGAATGAGGTGCGGAGATGTATTCGGTACAGAGTGTTGACAGATGCTCAAGTTGAAAAGTATTTCATTAAAAAGATCTTCCACCAATAGAGATTCCAGAAGGCGGCACTTGAGTGACATCTCAACTCCGCCTTCTTTACATCAACTCATCCCTGTGTTCTTTTTTTGTTATCAAAGGATGAGGATGGGTGTTAGGAGGAGTCCCAATAGATGTATCTTAAGAAAATGATCTTATGATGCGGTTGTAGCTGACTGTAATGTAGTGTTTAGCTTTTAAGCGTTTCTTTTTATAAAAAGGAGTTATAGATATTGAGAGCAAACAACTTTTTTTTATGACTAAATTTATAATTTACTTTTAGTTTTAATGCTATTTTATGAAGTTTTTGTTTATTTCCTTTTTCAACTGTTGTATTAAATAAATTAATTAAAAAATAAACTAAAAATTACTTAAAAATAACTGGGATTTTTTTAAAAAATTATTTTAATGCATGACTAAACGTTCAAAAGCTATTAAGGTACAATGTTTCGCAAAATACTGTTAATTTTTAATTTTCTTGTTACAAATCAGAAACTTTCGTTCGAAGATTTATAAAAATGTTATCCACATTTTTCCTCCCTTTTTTTTAAACCGTTTGACGCAGATGCGATACCGGTGTCTCTTTTTTTTTGTGTATTTTTTCTGACGGTCTAATTATAAGCAAAAATATATTCTGGTATTTTTCAATAATAAAAAACAGTCTAATATTTACCAAAAAAATTTGTTAGATTCTCGGAATTATATTTGCACTAAAATATAAAATCCAAAAAAAGTTGTTTGATTTTTTTTCATTCCTATTGAAAAATATATCAATAATTGAATTGAAAGAAATTTAAATTACGAATAACTGTTTCTCTTTAATATATGTGTAAATATTAAACAAAAAAAATTTTGTATTGAAGATTTCACGTTTAAAGCAATAAAAGACAGCGGTGTTTCTTGCATTATTTCATAACCATAAATTATTAAAATGCTAAACGAAATATTTTTCACTTATTTTGACTTAAATTAACACAAAATAACGAAAAAGTATAAAAAATATATTAAATAAAATTTCTGCGTCAAAGGACCAAGATGCAATGTTTCGTAAGTTATTGTTAACTTTTGATTTTTCATATCATAGTTTAAAAACTTTCCCTCTATATTTTACGAAACAATTAACCACATTTTTCCTTTATTCTTAAACAACTATTAGAATGGCTGTTTTTTACACAGAAAAAAAAAGATAATTATATTTTTTCGCTTAATGTTCTTATAAGTACAGTTTAAGTAAAATATAGCATCCCGCGACAGCCTGTTGTGGGCCGGGGGGTCAGGGAAATTAAGGCTCTATAATTTTGTGACTAACGCCATGATTGTGGCCAGGTGGTCAGCACTGCGCACCGGTCGCATCAACTTCCCAGACAAGCTGATATTCATCTATAGGAAGCTGGGTGAATTTCAAGTCACCACTGGTGTTCGCACCCCTGCACTTTACAATGTCAGTTTAGTGCTTTCCCCACTGAGCGATCGTGACTCTAAAAGTGCACTTTATTTTATTTTATTTTATTTTATTTTATAACCGTCGTTGAACAGTGAACTCAATTTTGGGTTTACGACTACGAATGTTAAACTCCGTAGGCTTGTAATTTTGAACCAATCCAAAAGACAAGGAAACTCCTGGATCAGTACCCCCAGAGGTATTGATTTGTTATGGGAACATGGAGGACTTTGAGACTCGACAGATTTAACGTGCATCAGTGACCATTTACTACACTTTGGCCTGCGGGGATCGAAACCACGACCTCCTAGACCGAGGCCCAGTGACCCATGGGCCCTATTTATCATTTAATTCTATTTTTAAGATCAACTTTTGCGTTTATAGTTCCCCTTTTCACTTTTTAGCTTATAGTTCCCGCAAAACTGAAAAAGATGTATTTTTTCTTTCAGTTTTAAAGCAAGTTAGTAATAATGTTAATATTTAAGTGTGTAACGAAGTTTTTTTGAATTTCTTTTCTATTATTTTAAGTTTTTATATTTTATTTATTTTCTGAATTCATACACTCAATCATAAAATAAAAATAAATAAATTATTAAAACTATTAATGCCTAAGAACTCTGGAAATCTAATTATAATCCGTAGGATGCTCATACTAACATAAATTATATTCGTTTTAGCCAAACAATTTTCAGCTTTTGTAATTTAATAAAAATGAAAATGTGCTGAATAGTTATTAAAATAATCAAAATCAATCAAATGGTAAGATATTTATTGTTTGATCGAAAAATAATTAAAAATTTTACTTATTTTGCTACATTTCATCAGTTTAAATGGACTGTTTGGAAAAAAATATATTTTATGAGGATTTGTAATACAATGAATGTTACAGTTATAGTTCTGATACAGTCTTAAATACAGTTTTGATTAAACGTAGTTTAAATCCTTTACGTTTCCTATTCACCTTTACTGAAAGAAAATAAAGATTGAAAACTCAATTATTTACTTTGCCAAACATATATTGGATAAACACAACATTCGTGCTTACCATAATCTATAAATATGATATAAATCTGAGTATCGACCTGAAACTATTTATCTGCAATATTTTAAAAACTATATTTAAAAATTAACCTTTTAATGGGCCATTTATTCCTAGTAAAGATAAATTAAAGTATTTTTGGAATTGAAATTGCTTTAAGAATAGTTATTGATATACGAAAAAAAAAACTCGTTTAGTTTATAAAAATGCGGATTTTTTTGGTGGTAAATATATTTAACACGACCTATTAGGAGCTTATTGACTTTTATTTTTCTTTATTTATAAAATAAATTTTATAAATGCTACTAACTTCAAAAGGAATAATGTATTTTATAACTTTTATATATTTTTTTAAACTAACAAATGGTTACCAATTTTATTCTAATGCACTTCAAGAAAGTTGAAGTTATTAACAAATGGAAACCAAAATAAAAAGTGGTAAAAAAGTGGCGGGAAGTATACTTACCACTGCCTTTGAAAGGGTTAAGTGGAGGATTAAATTAATTAACATCCTAATAAATATGAAATTAACATCCTAATAAATGCTTTACCACTTTTCTATAAAGGTACACTGAGAAAAAAACATGGTCAAAACTACCAGGATATGGTAAAGTTTACCGTGTTTCTGGCTCAATGAGAACACCAAAAGGTAATTTTTACCGAAGCGCTTTGGTAATGATTTTATAAAATGTTATAAAATTTGGTAAATGCAATAAATTCCGGTAATTTCATCATACCTTAGAGCATGTTAAAAAACCGTTTATTCGGTTAAATTTACTTTTCCGCTTTATATTTTTCACTAACAGAGTGGTAAAAAGAACTGTGATTTTGAAAAATAGCATTCCCGGTTAATCGTTACTATATGACAGGGATGGCGAACCAATGGCACGCGTGCCATTTATGGCACGTGATACAATATTTTGGGCACCCCACCGATCGCAATTGTTATTGCACTATGAATTGTTATTACACAAATGTTATTACATTATGAAGCATATGTAACAATTAAATTAAAAATCACAAAAACAAACAAAATAATAAACAAATATTAATAAAAAAATTAACAATTAATGCTAAAAAAACAATTAATAACCATAAAAAACAAGTTAACAATAAGTAACTAGCAAAAAAAATTAACAGTCTTGCTTAAACTAACATCTTACAACCTAATATAAGTTATTTGTCATCTAATCTGCAGCAACAGAAGTCACACTGATGTTACTTTAAGTTGAATTACGCCTATAACTGAGACATTGCAAAATGTATTTTTTTTCTTCAATGTAAATAGTTTTGAGTTGATAGCATTTAGTATTATTATTTTCCCAATAATCACGAAGTCAAAATTACTTGACGGCACGTCTATGACATCATTAAACAGTTTTTTAGAAAAAGTGGCGCGTTGGTGTATGAAGGTTCGCCACCCCTGCTATATGAGAATGAACAGGAAAACTACCAAATGAAGGGTTTAAACACCTCATATTAATGTTTTATTTAATAATATATATTTTTTTACCAGAAATGTTATTATTATACAATATGGTAACTATATTAGAATTTTTTTCTCTGTTTACTTTTTATACCAGCCACAGAAAATTTCGCTCTCGCAATAGTAATTTTTTTAAAATATATTTATTTATCTGTTTATGTTTCACTAATAACATAGGAAATGCTACGTTAATGAAAAACCCAATTTTGATACCTTTCGCATCAGTAATTATTTAAAATATATTTATTCATATTTTTATGTTACAGTAATAACTTAGAAAGTGCTATGATACTGAAAAAAAATCTATTATCAATTTAGTTACCCTTTCGTAACAGTATTTATTTGAAATATATATATTTATTTTTTTATGTTGCAATAATAACTTAGGAAAAGCTGCATTGATAATGAAATATATATCATGATGAAAATTAATGAAATAATGAAAAGATAATTGAAAAACCAATTTCGTTGCCTTTTCGCAACAGTAATTATGTGAAATATATTTATTTACATTTTCATGTTGCAATAATAACTTAGGAAATACTATGATAATAAAAATACTCAATTTAGTTATTAAAAAACCTACATTCTCTTTATTGTATTAATAGAAAAAGAAAATGGTTGAACTTAAAGGAATATATCATGTAAAAAATTTCACCTTAAAATTGGCTGGAATAAGTTATTGAATGTTTATGGGAATAATTATCAGCAAAAGAAAAATTTAGTTTTTAAAAGAGAGATTTAGAAATTATTGCGACAGAATATCATTAAAAGTTTTTAAGGAAGTAATTTGAAAAGAATAACTTGAGATTATCAGGAAAAAAATACGCTTTTGTGGCTCTAAATCTTTGAAAATTAATTACCAAGTATTTTGAAAATCATAAATAAGTACAATAGAACTTCTCTATTTTAAGAGTTTGCAATTTGAAATTATTATTTTCTTGCTTATTCTTTCAAAAATCGTTTTCAACTTTTATAATTATTGAATAAAATTTAATTAATAGTATTGTTTTCTCATGACGTTTGTATACTTTTAATAATTAACAATT